TCGAGTGGCCTCTTCTACCGAATAGCCAAGGAAGTTTTCCTACGCCGACGGGCGGCGTGGCTGAACATTTGCTTACAATAAGAATTTCATTTCAAATGTTTTTTTCATATTTCTGATACTTATAAAAGCAATAGCTTAAAGGCACTTCAAACGAATATGCTTTACATATATATAATACATCATTTGCATTAATTTAATTACTAGAAAGATAAATCTTTCATTGATATTACAATGAATGATTTGTACAGAATTCGTGTTCCTCGTAAATTTTCAAACGTCTATCTTTCTCATAGAATAAATGTAAACAGTGATAATTAATCTTATAGATTAATAAATACTTAATGGAATTACGGAATAAAAGCATACTACACTACGAATTATAACATCTAGAATAAAAAATACTCGTTTCTTCTTTTTGTGAAGAAAAGCAATTTTTTGTATGTATAAGTAAAATTTTCTACACAATTTTCTAACCAAACAGATACAAAACTCAGCAAAGAAAACACATAGCGGTGTTTCGACTTCCTTGACGTTGAGCTTTACTTCCAAGTTCCATTTCAATTTCGCAACATTTCTCAATAAGATTTTAATTCAATATTATAAAGTTTATTACGTAATTTTCATGGCAACAACATGGTTGCCTTCAAAATTTCATTCCTTATTCACTTATCCACAAAAAATTTCGGCGAAATCATTTGATAGCTCCAAGTGTCGTACACATGAAATGTAATTTCATCAAAGTTTCAATTAAAGTACGTGTTAAGAAGACTTAAAGGTCTAGATGTTCAATTAAAGAAGAAAAACATAAGAGGACTAACAGAAACATCAGAAAATTACCGTTATCACCATATATCTTTGAGATTTCTTTTTATATACTTGTACACAGAAGAAACGAAACATGTTATACATATACATTTGTCATTTCCTGGAAAGTTCAAGACATCTTAGCTGCAGAAATAACCAAAGAGGCTGTATAAATGAGAAGCACTGATACTATTGCATTCTAGAAATTGCATTAAAAATTTTCGAACTACAATTGGACGCGGAAAATGTGACGTATCGTATAAAAGGAGAGATGGAGGGACGCCAAAATTTCACAATCGGCGATTCATTAGCTATTGACATTAATAAAAATTTCTGGCCAATACATTAGATATTGCGTATTGGGTAGATTTCGTAATGAAAGAGCCACAAAAGAAAACTTGCTACCACTAATATGTTAATAATATGATAAAACATAAAAATGAATATCAAACGTAAATTACATGTACAAAGTAAAAATTAACATTTACTTTCTATAACGTTCCATAAGACTCAGAATTTTAATGTATAACAAAGTATTGGCATTCTTTCCCTACACGAAATCAAGATGCGCGAAAACGTCACATGGTAATAAAAATTTCTGGGCATTGGGTAGCATTTCGTACAACTCCAGAACGTCCTGCAAAACCATTGACAGGGAAGAAATGATTGAAAAATTCGAGTCCAATAGAAGATTCGCAATTAACGCTATACTAACCTGAACGTCGGCAATTATGTCACTGGTGGCGTAATGCAAATACACTGGTAATCTGATAATGCGGAGATTATAATCAGGAGAATTAGTTTTGTCATACATTTCTATATTGCCGGCACGGCCATAGTCAAATTTCCGAAACTTGCCTGTGAAAGGATAGAACGCAATGTGAGAGAAATTTTATAAAACTCTGTATGTCTATTTATTGAATGTTAACCTGATTGATACAATTGCACAAAATGTGCTAATTGTTTAATAGCAGCACCAGCAGGAAAATATTGCGTAATAAGAGGCGATAGAGTCTATAAATTAAAATCACGTTTAATAGAAAACTATTATGTACAATTATCAATTAATAATGCATTTTCATTTGCGACCGCTTACCGCATTAAGCTTTTTATGCACACAAGCAAATAGATCAAGGAAGCCTATAAACTCTGGCTGCAAAGGTGATTCGCCACTGCATATTTTCCATCCAATCATTTGTATAAGTCTGTTGGATGGCTTAAATTCATAAAAACCTAGTGATTTCGTTAGAGACTATAAAAAGATAAAAGACGTGAAAATGATATTAATTGTTGTTTCGCCTTACATTGAAATCAGAATTTTATTTAATTAGCAATTTTGATAATTGATAATTTCATAAAATTTGTAACATTAGTTAATAGCAACCTTGATAATAACATTATTAATATTAAAATTAGGTTTTAAAGCGTTTGTAGAAGTTTGCAAGATAGCTTAAATTGATATATGCCCAGTAAATTCAGTAAAACATTCAACAGTAAGAAGATTAAACAAAGCAAAAATATTATTCATTGGTACTTTGCCTGATATTAAAATTACTAATTTTATTTAATTAGTTCTCGTGGAAAATATTATAACTATAGAATAAAGTTGAAAGTTTCCACAATTACTAACTTTAATAATTATTAGCAATATTAGAATTAAATTTTGAAACTTACGTAGCCATGATCAGCTAGAACGCACAACATTTTACCAAGAGAAAATCGTGTTCTATGCAGAGTTTAAAAAGTAAATAGCAGGAGATAATTCAGAATTTTATAAATAGGACTTATATTTGACCAGGACAGTGAATAATTATAATACATATTTTAAAATATAGTATGAGTAAAAAGATGTCTAGATAATAATTCATGTTAGTAAGTAATTTCATGTACCTAGATACCAATCTTAAACTTTCTTTTGTCCAACATGTGGAGAATTATTTCAAAAAGAGGGAATAAAGAGAGGAAGTGATTAATTTGATAATATGTACCTAAAGACTTTTCAGCACCTTCCACAAGCCACGTAGGCGAGGCATCTAGAAGTCCATGAACAAGTAATACTGCAGTTTTATTATCATTCGGTGGACTTTTTCTCGATCCTGGGACTCTATCCATTCGCAAAACATATCCATCCTGTGTGGTAACATCATAACTTTCAGCTGGGTATCCCGCATTCTGCGCAATCACTGTCTAAAGATATGCTCCCATTTATTTCATTATAAATGGAAATTATATTTACAGCTTCACACGTTACGTATACACAACTCCAGTCCTGGTGAAATAATATAGATATATAAAACTATACAAATAAGGCAATAAGAAGAATTAAATTTGTTAAAATACCGGGTTTATTACAAAATATGTTTATGACAATTCCGATATTCTCTATATAAACAATGTTACTTATACACAGTTTCTGTTTCAAAAATTATAGAACTTGCAGCTGGTCAGAAAATGATAACACAATTACCAATAAAATTGTCTTACTGCAGTTAAAGCTCCCCCGTCAGAAATTTCGGTTGCTTCATGCTGCCCTATAAAGAGTACTCCTATGATAATATGCAACAGAAAATAATATTTTTAAACATTGTCGTGGATGATTCGTGTTTGACTACGAGTTATTGCGTATTCTTATATACCCATATATTGCATAACATTTATGTGAGCTAATCGCATAAGCGCCTATGAAAACGAAATGATATAATTAGTGGAATATTATATCAAATTGTTTGACGTCATTAGAAAAATCAATTTGCCTAGGTAATCTACTTCAGAAAAATATCATTAACGTCGCATAACGTATACTTTTGTACGAAAATTTTTATTAAAAGATATTTCCCTGTTGCGAAGTGAACAGAACCTCCTGTGTATGGCATTAGATTGTTATTGACGCAAGATTTCTTATGTAACTTTGAAATTAAATCGCTATCAGTTGTCAATTACCAGATCAACAGTCGATTAAAAGAACAGTGGTAATTTCTTTCTATTGTTTTTTATTAATGCTTTTTTGCATTTGTACGCTATTCGCTCACCAAAGATATACTTGTCTCGAACTCTCAGGTATCGCAGGGTACGTCCGCACCCTGTGAAGATCTAGGCGAGAATAAGACGGGAACCAGTGCTTTCGGCGCGGTATGATCGTTGGCTTGAAATAATTATTTTATAAACTTCTCATTCAGGAATGATATTATAGAATAAAGTAGTAAATAAAAATGTAAAAATGTTTATAAATTAAATACAAAAAATTATTCCAATTTTTTTTTTTATGAAGCAACGTCTTTTCATCCATAAATGTTATTCTAAAAATATAAGTACATTTATAATTATAACAATACAATTATGTATAACAAAGAAAAGACAATAAGTTTCACTATAAATACATTTGAAAGGCGGAACGGCGAAGTAACTATGTACAGGGTGTCAAGAAATATTTTGTCGTGGCTACCATAGGTGATTTCTACATCCCCAGATCGCTGAAGATCTGTCAAACAAAGTTTCCGTAAAAATGTCCTTGACCAGTTTTTTGAATGTCAAATTTTTTTTATGACTGCATCTTATTCCACTCATATTCCACAAGATAAAATGTCTCCAAGGAACCATGGGTCGGCAATGACTCGTTCTCCTGAAAAATGTTCACATATCCAATTATTATATCCAATTGTTAAACTCGCTATATATGTAATATGTTTATATTTTGCAATGGAATAGGCTCTGCTATTGCATTTATTCAATTTCTTAGTCGAACATTTCTTCCACGGGTCCACAAGACAGCACCATCCTGTTTAGAGGCAGCGTAATTATAGCGACAACGAAAAGTCTAATAGATAGGGCAGAGCTTCGTATTATAGCATCTTTTGTAAAAGTAATTAAAACAGAAAATTCATTATATCTCATAAACGAAGACAGGTAGGACATATATTTATATGA